TAGGTGGTCGAATTACCTAAATTTAGTAATGTTTTGATCGCATAATGATTGATACGTTCGATGTAATTTTTCAAGGCTTGAGATATGCCCAGAAGTAATGGGCAACAATATTCTAATTGCGGTAACACGTCGGCTTTATAAAGGAAAATCATAACGTCTCAAGGAATTCAACGCTTAATCCTCCGTAGTGCGGCTATTTTAGTATATACGCATTGGAGTCAGGTACAATTCTGCCGATTTCAAATAAACAGATTGAGCTTGTATTGACACTGGACTTGCTATTTGGTAGGAGTGGCCTCAGTTTTTTCCAGAATGAATCAGGAGAGCATCTAGAAGAAAAAGACGCTGTATCAGAACAGAAATCTCTAATTGACTGTCTTTTAAGAGCTGTAACCTTATCACGCTGAGACCGGTACTTATTCCAGTTTGCATTCGTAGGAATTCGGCCGAATTTCTAATACAAAAGATTCCTGACGCACATTTGCTTTTGAATAGCAGGGTTCAACCACGGTAGTTGATTGCTTTTAAGGCTCATGCGTTTGAGTGGAGCATGATGATCAAATTGAGAAGGCTTTGCCATTGGCACCAAATATCATTCACACCATCGAAGGTGTAAGCAGTGTTCCATGGAATGTCACTTAAGAATGAAAGAAAAGCTGGTTCATCAAAGTTTTACATCGATCGATATTCAAAACTTTAGGTCACGAGAATAAAGAAAACGATCACCAACTAAAGAAGGTTTTGATTGTCAAAGATATCGTCCTTGTCAGCTCCTTAGGAAATGTATCGGCAACAGTATGGAGAAGACGCATACTGATTTTAGGGTGTAGAGGATTTACAGTACTGACGTTTAAAAGAGTTATTACTGTAGCCGCTTGTCTTCTCAACATTTATATAATGTCATTCAAGATTAGAAGTGATAGGTTTGAGGACTATACATGGATCTTAGGTGGGATGAGGGGGATAAGGTTTGTTGGGGGGAGGGGGCTGTGTTGGGCAAGGGACATTTATACCTACAATTGCTGGATGGCGGGCCAAGCAGATCCTAAATAGCTTCGTGCAAATGTCAGCCATTAGCCTGGACAGGGTTTTTAATACCTAAACCTGTACTTGTCGTTAAGAAGAGTAAAGGATGATAGGTGAAGAAAGAAGATGACACTTATAATAAGCTATTTGTATTTGAGATTAATGCGGCACGCTTCCTAGACCACTACATTTCTTACTTCCACTTCCACGGAGGTATTATTGTGGCATAAGATTTAGACGATTTTACAACAACAAAAAATGGCCTGAGCTGCCTGAAAAAGTAAATTATGAATACAAGTGCTCAAAAAACGAGGAACAGTGTCTGCAGATAAAAGTCGACCAATCGATAGCAGTAAAGTTATAGCGGTTAAAAGTAGTCTGATCATTCGCTGTGTTTTCTCAGTCTAACGAAACAGAGGCTAAGGCGTCTGTTTCCCGCCTCGGATTGGATTATTCGGCACAGTTGCGCCTTCAGAGAAATGACCTTGTATTTTCCTGTTCTTTAATTCTTTAATCGCCGGAAGAGTGATTGGATCCAATTTCGCCCAGTATTATCATTCCCGGCATGAGTCAAACATGAAGGTCATGGGAATAAAGGAAATGATCGCGGGCTCAAAACTTCTTGATTATTAAGCAAATTCTCCCCGTTAATAGCGTAGGAAATGTATGGAGAACAGTTTTAACAATGTGCATACTGACTCGGTTGGGGTGTAAAAGCCGATTGGCCTCTTGGCTTTGTTTTGTAAGTCACGTGAGAGAAGCTTTAGTACCAGAAATGGAAAGGATGCTTTACCCTCTTTGTCATGCACCTTATCGATTTACTTCAAATCTCTATTTATTTCCTTTTATTTTCATTTTTAATTGTGCGCGTGTATGTGTATGTGTATGTGCCTTGCATACACGTGTACTTAATATGCAGTCACTTTTGGATAACTGGCGCACCAATCAAATGGTTACGATGCTGATTCAAGATTGAGAAGTCTAGGTCGAACCTAAACCTCGATAAACTAGTGTGTTACATTCTTGGGCAAGACACTATTCTCCGACAGTATCTCTAATCATTCGGCTAGGGGCATAAATGAACACAAAGGAACTGTTAGGAAAACTTAACGGATAACGGTACACACGAGAGCTTGTGATAGACCCGCAAATGATTTCAGTCAGGTCTGCCAGAATAGTAATAATTATATTCGCTCTTGTTCATCAGATTAGATCCGAAATGAGACGAGCCTCTCATATTAGCTTGGGAGTAGAGCAGTGACTCTTGCCTGTTCGTTACTTTTGTCACTTTTGTTTTGTTTGTTTGTCCGTTTGATTCTGAAGATGTTTTTCCCTTTT